TACAATTTTGACCTACCTGGGCTTCGCTTAACTTCATGATGTCCATGACCGAGAAACATCTACGTTTCCAATGCCTTTGGAAGGCTGACAAGGTCAAGGTTTGGCATGCTAAGATGCTCCAGAGAACAGGCAGATCTCCTTAAATCCATGTTATAATCTGGAGCTTTTTCGTTTATCAAGTTATCACAGCCTACAGGTATGTGATCTCTTCTACAGTTATATTGCAGGTGAAAACGTACTGTATTGACTCAGAAGGGAGTCTCTTGTTAGGCAGGTGTAATTTTCAGCTAAGTATGCAGAGAACTGGACTTTTTTTTCCATTTCTGTTTTGTTTTTGATCCCTCGATTCATTTCAGTGACTGATACCACTGCTCTAATTAAAGGCAGCAACAGAAGCTACAAGGAACGACTAATTACCTCTTTCTCTCACTAAAATGTCAGATTCTGTGTCACCCACACAAACCCAACTTCAAGTTTGTACCCCAGGCCAATAAGATGACTGGGCTACCTTTAATTGCAGACCACTGAAAACACCACCACATAGTAATAAGGAAATTACTGGCATCCATTTCAAAGGATTCAAAGAATTATTTGTGGTTGGGCATCTCTTAGCCTGATGCATTATTGCAAAGCCCCTGCTTCTAACAAACAGCTGTCGCCACTTGTAGATTAGCCTAGGCCCCTCCCTTGCAAATTGTACCATCTTGATGCCCTTTCTTGCTGTCCAATTATAAAGCGGCGCTAGGTTTTCTCATCAGCCATCTCCATGTCTTCAAATGGCTTTTCAGTGTCAGACCTATCAGGAAATTAACTCATCATGCAGTGACAGCTGCTAATTTTTTCCCCTCACATGTCAGATAGATTGCCTGCTGAAGCTAATAATGAATCACCAATCCCTGATTAGAAGGTGCTTCCGAAATGTATAACTGCCATCGGAGCTAATTTTTTTCTTCATATAAAATGATATCACCCCAGAGGAGCAGAAAACGAATTGTTCTGTTCAACAAGATGGAACAGAGGTAAGCTGTTTAAAGTGAGCTGTGTGCGATTGGAAATTATGAGCTAATATTGTAGAGTATAGGAAGGGGTAAAAATGCCACTTATCTTTCTTCTTTTTTCATCTTACCAAATGAATTACTCTTTCCTGTTACATAAGCTATTCACTAGAATGAAGTCTGTTTTAGGGCTCAGGATATGCGTTTGCCCTCTGGGTTCTTTGTGGTATTTTTCTCCGAAAACATACAAAATAGAGAATACGGAGGAAAGAGTTGATGTTGTCAGTGGGGGTCTCTCTTGTGTTTCCCCTTGCTAACTTGCCAGTGGCTCAGGCTGCTAGCTGATGGTCCCCAATGTTTTTCAAAGCAGGATAGTTCAGATACAAGTTTTGGCCAGCCTGAGGCAGGAAAGCTCATCGTGAAGAACATCTTGAGCCAACTGTGTCTGCAAACATAACAAATCTCTCTCTTGAGGAAACTTTCTATCAATCTGGATGTTTTGAAGGCAACATTTATACATGACAACAGTGCTCACAGCGCTGTTCATAATTCCCTGTGTGCATTTTTCTTGGTATGTTGGCTTTTTGTGCCAGTTCAACTAACTTCCATGGTGAACTATTGCTGATAAGAGACAGAATATCATTTAGCTTGGAGCTTTTGTTTTGGTTAACATTTTATATCTATGAATTAACTTTCAAGAGACATTTCTTGAAAACATGGCAGAAAACATTGTGCTGGAAGCTATAAATGTTATGGGGAATGGCTGAAGATACTTGACAGGACTTCCTGTTTTTTCTGTCTACTAGGGGAAAAAAGGATGCTAGTCATGTAAGTCAACCTAGGGATTATATTTATTGAAACTGGCTGACTACGATGAACAAAAATTCCACTGTATGTACATAGTTAACTATTTAATAAATAAACAATGTGGAGTCTTCCAGTTAGTTGGATTACTATAATCAATGATTACTGGACACATTGGCTAGAGCTGATGGAATTTGCAGTCCAAGATACAACTACCGCTATATTATCATTATATCACTTTTTCTAAAATTATTCATTGCCATTTGATGTGGGCCCTGGTGATAGCTCAGAGAAAGTCAAGATATTCACCAATATACATAATAAACATGACTATTCACTAAACAAGTGCCTCACTTTTTTCATGCCACAGTGTAATTGAGATGAAATGCATATTGAGAAAGATGTGCTTTAAAATAATTTTAAATCCCCAATTTTTATCATAGATGCACCTGCATTAGGATGATAGGAAACTGCCCTTCAGTTCACTTTCTGAATTATTGAATGAGGTGCTTGATACATCTAGTTACCTAGAAAACAAATCTGTAAAATCATATCAAGGCTGGGACTTTAGCTATGTTGCATAGTCTGAGGAGCAAGAGCCACTCTGCTTATCAAATGATCCAGAACCCCAGATTTCAGATAAATCCAGATCTCTCTTCCTGCCATGTTGAAGACAAACTGATGCATTTCTGCCTCTCAGATGAAGCAGAGCAGAATATGTCTTCTACAGAAAGGTTCAGATGCAGTCTTCCAAAGGCCTGAATTGTATTTGCTGCTATTTGTGATACCCCAAAAGAGAATTACAATGGAAAGAAAGACATAACTAAGGCATTAAGCTTAGTAATGTATCAAAGTACCGTGTTTCTCACAAAATAAGGCCGGGTCTTTTTTTTTTTTTTTGAGCCCTGAAAAAACGGCTAGGATGTCTTTTCGGGGGTGAATTAATTTCTCCCCCCACCCCCATGCACCAGTGCCGTCTCCAACAACAGCATCTGAGACGCTCCCGCTTTCCCCCCGTCCCTGTAACAACAGGGGAAAAAAAGATTTTGAGGTACTTGGGAGTGCTGTGCGCTGCGTTTTGGTTTAATCCCAAGTGGCTGGGTGGGCATGTGAAGAGCCGAGTGAGCGTCTCTGCTGCTGCTATCCTTGGTGCTCCAGCAGAGACGCTCGCTCGGCTCTTCTCACGCCCACCCAGCTGCTCGGGATTAAACTAAAATGCAGTGCACGGTGCTCCCAGGTACCTCAAAATCTTTTTTTTCCTGTTGTTACGGGGACGGGGGGAAAGCGGGAGCGACTCAGATGCTGTTGTTGGAGACGGCGCTGGCGAGAGAGGTGCCAGCACCGGTGGGAACCATGGAAGCTACAGAGGCCTGAGAAGTGGTTGAAATGCTGCTGGACATCCATGCCGACACCGCCCGCCTGCTGACCCGGGTAAGGGAGCCCTCTGTGCTCCACCATGATTGGCTGTTAGGAGCGGCTGGTGGTGAGGCGTAGCTGCCCCGCAGGGCACTCCTATGGCAAGTTCCCCCCCACCTTCCCCCCCAATTTCGCATGTTTTAAACTGGGCCTAAATTTGGGGGGAGGGGCTTAATTTCATTTTATGCCTAGAAAACATGCTGGGTCTTCCTATTGGGGAGGGGGCGTATTGTTGGAGAAACACGGTATAAGCATGAGATCAAATTTTTTGTTTGGAAGTAAAGAAGCCCAAGTTGATGGTTTATGAACTATTAACAGTATCCTGGTGTCCAAACCTGGTTTCCTTCATAAATATGTTTGCTGGGGAATTTTGCTCTTTACAAATTCAGAAAGTTTTCACGGGGTGATGTTAAAGGAACAAGAATCTAATTCCTGAGACTTCTCTATTCAATAGAGGATTGTTGACTGAAGACAAGATCTTTCTATATTGGTGATAGCAAATAGGCTAAACCGAAAAACAAAAGGTAGAAGCACATAATCTGGGTTTCTGGAAAATCTTTCTCAGCACTTCCAAGCCAATGAACACTTCTACATATATATATATATTTATTTATTTATGCAAAGGTCTGCTCTTTTCATTGTGCATACAATGTGATTGCTGGTGTGACACTGCAGGCTACACTGGTTTTATGAAGGATTAAATGCCACCTGAGACATATTTATCCTAAATAAATCACAAATGGTAAACTGCAGCATGTCAGTGTCAACACCCTGTATTGCAATGGAAAGGTTAGCCATACAGAACTGAGCATAGCTAAAAATTAGCATCCAAGCCATAAGACCAGAGGGCTCCAGTTAACAGGCAAAATGATCAAGAAGAAATATTTTCAATGAAAAACATTCATTTGAGTACCTGCGAGAATCTTGCAGAAGGCCATCATTTTGTAAAGGTCACTTTTATCCTGATAACAAACGGGAGTTGATCCTGTCATTGTTGGCTGAAGACAGTATTTAATAAGTAGTGAGCGGACTGTCACTTTTAAGAAGAATGAGCAAGTTAAACTTGGCTAATTATGACTTTCAGCCCCACCCCCCTTGAAATTTTATTCTCCCTCTTTATTTGGGGAACGGATCTGACAGATCCAACCTGGAAAATAAAAACAACAACACGTTTGCCACTCTGACAAGCACATGCCCCTAGCAGCTAATTTTAGAAGAGACAATTGTGTTCTGACTTTTGGATAATCGGATGTATCATTAATGCGTCTTCTGCCCGACACTTTTGAATAATAAAAATTAGATAATTAAGATATTAAACTAATCCAGTTACTTCCTCTTCTCTTGGCCTGAAAGTTGTGAGTCCAAATGGGAACAGAATTTTTTTCCCCTCCCCTGCTCCTTTCTCAAATCAGACTGAGAGAGTAATCATGACGCCTAGTGGGAGTTCTGTAAATCCATGACGCTTTTCCGGCTTACTTCTAAATATAAACCTAAGGCTGTCTTCAGGCATCAGAAGTCCCACATACAATTTGGTGGCCACAAATTTGCAGACTTGTAATAAAGTCTACTTAATGCCAGCTCTGTGTATTGATCAACAGTGCATGTCTGTAAGAACTCTCCATGGTATCTATTTCCAGGTATGCTTAACATTAAAAATGAGAATACATCTTTTAGTGCTGTTTTTTTTTATTGTAAAGAACCAACTGTTCCCCTGTATATGATAGTTACATCTCTTAAGGAAAAACAGAAGTTTTTATAGCAGAAAAATATTTGTTTTTTTTTTTAAGCAGGAACTTACTTTAAACAATCAGAACTTATCCACAACTAAATCAACATTCTGATCCAACAAGAAATAGATCAAAGTCAACTTTTTCCACTTAAGATTACTGGCAGAATTTAAAATGGAAAAGGGTCATCAAATATTTGCAAAGCCTATTCATAAAACAAACTGCAAAATGGTATATATTCGAATGATACTATTTTTTCTTTTAAAAAGAAGAAATCCCAGCAATGATTACATAACAGGCATTAGCGAGGTTTTTTTTTTTTTTTTGCTAATACGTCCCCAAGGGTTGATTGCAGAGATATCTCATGATATCTCATGTTATCAGGCATTTTGAACCACACCATAAATTTATTTCATTGTGAATCCTGCATTTTGAGTAGAAATAACTGGGGCGTATTTAAACAGGTTTGGAATGTAAAATTATTGCATACATAGAATGCCTTAATCTATACAATGTTGATGTCTATGTCAATTGGGTGATATGAGTACCTGCATATTTAATTTGCTCTCCCTACAGAAAGTCAGATAAGTCAAATTACATAATTAATCAGAAGAAAGATTAAAAACTATCAGATGTCAAAAAATAATGAAGAGGTGATAAGCAAAATAAACCAAACTATCTATCTCGGTAGTTGCATCTGTGTATGTTCTGATTTTATTTGGTAAATTTTTCAGTGTCTATAACTGGTGACAGTCTGATCAGTGCTCATGCAAAAACAAGGAGAATTCCCTTTTGTATGAAATATTCCCAGGATGGTGATGCTAATACCATATAAATGCATTTACAAATGCTTTATAAGTTAACAATAAAACATAATATAGCTGATGTTTAATTCCTTCTTTCTTTTTTGAACTGAATAGGCAGAGTATTTTCGTATCTTTTATAGTTCACTGTTATCTCTTTGGCCCTGGATAATAGCTGTTTGTGAACCATCTTCTGTGTAAATGAGCATGCTACTTAGTTGTTCAACACTTCCATCACAAGAATTTTGATTAGAATTTATAACTGTACCAGCCTGCAAAAGTTCTTGAGTTTCCTCTTTCTCTATCACAGTATGTGAATATACTCTAGAGTCATTCTCAATTTCCTGGGGTAATTGTGTTACTATGTAATGAGTTGCACCATTGGCAAAGTTATTGTTAGACTCCTGAACCATCGCTTGAGCAATCTCCTCTGTGACAATGATCTGTGAAATTTCTCCATCTGCTTCAACCAAATCCATGTGTTGACTTTGGATGCTCAGGGTATGGCTGTCAGCCTCTTGCATTATTATTTGAGATCCTTCTCTAGATACCATATGCACGGTTCCTTCCTCATTCAAAATAACCTGAGTGACACCTTCTTTCATCAGCTGATCAGCTGCAGCTGTATCGCACACAGCGAACTGGAGGACTCCTTCAACCATTTTCTTGAAGGCAACCTGAGCATTTTCCTGAGATGAAATTATGGTGGACGGATGCACAACTTGTGTTACTACCTCCATGGACTGTTCTTCTTCAATTTCCTGAACACCATGGAACATTTGTGTTTCCTGTGTTATGTCATCTGCTTCTGGATTTGACATTTGCAATGCTTCTTTGTGACAAAGCTGTGCTCTATCCAAAAGTTCTACTTTGTTCTCCACCTCACCAAGTTCTGTTACAGCACAAAGCAAAGCATCTAATGCTGAGGCAGACTCAGGTGGGTGTGCCCTTGATGTATCCAGAGACTCTTGTCTCATTATCTGTTGCACCACTGCATTATTTGGGGCTGAAGCCATCCCTATGGAAACAGCATCTTCAAGAGCAGTTTCTCCTACAGAGCCTTCAACGACAAGAAGTCGTGTTTTCCCATCGGACAATTGTTCGTTAAGTATTTGTTCTGGAAGTATGCTGCTTACATGGGAGCCATTTTGATTTGTAGCTATCAGCTGTCCGTCTTCAGTTATATGTACCACCCTTGCCACTTGGCCAGCCATTGCCAAAGTCTGAAGGGTAGCTGCTGCTGTTTCTTCCACTGAGGCATCGATTGTGAAATCACTGTCATATCCCTGAATAATGATCACCTGTTGCACTTGTTCACTGGCTTGTGGATGCCTCCTCATACCATGAAGCATCTTATCGCTGACTGGAGAAATTTCATCCAGAGCTGATGAAGCAAAAGGGCTGGTGGTTTCAACAAATGTAGCTCCTTGACCTTTCAGTCGACATTCATAAGACTTAGAAACTATACCTAAGAAAAGAAAGAAAGAATTTTTTTTTAAAAAAAATGTCAAAAAATAGTTTCGCAAAATACAGGTATGAACAATATAAAGAAAGAAAAATCCCAAATGATATGTGATGCTGTTCTCCTTTCAAGTACAGGTTAACTACTGTGATAAATTCTGTATCAATAGGAGCAAAGGGAATACTCGTATATATGCAAGATGGTTCATGTTCAGAGGAACTTAAGAATCCCATTTCTTTCTAGCCATGCCGGGATGTATTTATATACTTTCATTAAATGCTTCAGCAACAAATTTGTATAAATCCTTTTGAATTTTCAATATTTCTGCACAAATATGACTTAAAATGTAATCTGTTTTTCACACATGCAATTGGAGGAAGATAATTCCATTAAACAAATTAGTCGAAAACATTTATATTTGTTGATTTATTTACTGAAGGAAATGATCCCAAGCTATAACTGTAAGAATTACAATTGTAAGATTCTTGAAGGTTATATTTTCTCTAAAGCTGCAGATGAAATAGCCCACACTGGGATATTAGACTGTGTATGTTTTATATATTTGTTTATTGTTTTGTTGTTTTTCTGGTTTGCTGATGAATCAATGTGTGGCTGAATCATAGGGCTTGACATTCAGGATAGAAGCATCAAAAGCAGACATAAAACCTGAACTATGAAAGGTAAGGGGTAAATTTAGATTTGAAAATGGCCACTGCAGCTGCATCTTGACAATCTTTTCCTAGATCTGAAGATAAATTAATGAAAAAAATTGTACAGTTTGATCTCAACCAATTTATTTATAAGCAATGAATTCAATGAGATTTGAACCCTAATAAATTGTTTAAGTTGTTTGAATCTACACAACGGACATCAAATTTGAATTTCTAATAGTAAAATCAGTCAATTATTTAATCTGCAATTATCTATTTGGGTTAACAATAGCACTGATAAATTGACTACAGAATATAAAACGTAGTCTGTATTTCTTTTTTTAAAAAAAACCCACTATAAAATTCTTTGGCCAAGTCAGAATTACCAACAGTAGTTATGAAGATACATAATGGGCAGCTTATGTATTGTAAGAAAATCTTGATAGAAAGGTGGAGTTACACTTTGAAGATGAAGTTCAAATAAGAATCACAAGCTGTTTAATAAAGGCTGCAGTTACATAATATAATTAATTTGTAACAAAATCCCCCAACATATAAACAGTCTGTGCATGTTCTCAGATATTATTTGCTAGATATTCACTGATCTCCTGTGCCCTCCTTACCAGCTGAGCTTCTTTCAGGTCAACTTATTGCTGTGGAACATGCCCACAGAGCTGTGGACAGGCTAAATCAGAAAACAATGTGCAGTTTATATATCAATGCCACAAAGGGCCCACCATTTGTCTGGAAACAAATCTGTTTACAGTTGAGGAAGAACCCCCTCAGGATTGAGTTCGATTCTAGGTTCCATTTGGCTATCGCTTAAACTTGAAAAGCTGGTTTACTATGATTTACTGTGGATGTACAACGTCGTCCTTTGAATGACTGTCACAAACTCAGTAGCATGATGCAATTAGAATGAATCTGCTGAATTTAAAATGGAAGAAGATATACAAAGGGGTTATGCAAGATTGCTAAATATTGTTAATATAGCAGTCAAGAGCATGTGGCAACTACTTCAAATTATTTGCTCCTCTGACAGCAGCCTGGTTCCAATACCTACACATAATAATTTAGCAGAGTAACACAAACTCATATGATCTTGTATTAATACAACCCAGTCAGTAAGCAGAACCTATGTCACCTTACTGGCTTGCCCAAAGCCAATTCAATGTGCATGTAAAATGAATCATGTACATTTTATCATCCCTAACATTTCATATATATCTCAGTACCATTTTTGATGAAATTAAGATGTATCAGGATTTTAGGTTTAAAAACACTGTTCCAGTTTCAGAATATCTCTACGCCAGCTATTAAGACTAGAATGCACCCATTATCAAAACAAAATTACATTATACCATTCTAATTTTAGATGGCAAGACAGAAGGGAGCCTTTATGTCATTTAGAGAAAAGTTTTTTAAAAAAATTGAAGGGACTGAAATGTATGTCCAAGTAAAACAGCATGATTGATTTGGCACCCACTGATGGATTAAATTCTGGCAAGGAAAAACTGTGGAGAAGCACGAAATGGTTCTTTGTATCATTAACCTTATGCTCTTTCTCTATGGATATCATACTCAAGATTCTCAGCTTGAAAAAAAGAATATAAGGGAGAACATAACACAAAGAGACAATTAAAAATCAGAACTAATTCATATTTTTCAAGAGAACGATGTAATTAATTTCCACATGTGTCTTGCTTTCGTCGACAAGATGTAGGCCCAGACTTGCAATGATATGGACTTAAATCAAAACACAATTCTGCTCCAATATTATCCATTGGACTAATTCCACAGATAAAGTCTTAAGAGCGAACAGGCATGAAGTGACACTGCATCAGAGCAGAATAAGAACAGAAGAAGATAAAGGAATATGTTCTCTCCCTTGGCTTCAGAGGTAAATGCTGCATCTGTGATTTTATGCATGTCCAGTCTTTGCTCAGCAATTGAACGGGAAGTCTCTTGGGGGCTTGAGTTATCCTGTAAATTCCTTGCAGCACAGATAATTATGCCATTCTGACTGCTTGCTTAATCTATTTGAATCCAGAGGTGAGTTAGGCCACTTCCTGACCATTAAAGTAAACTACATGGGTAAATACTGCTGTCACTAAAGGGGTGTGATGAAGCTTAACTACACCAACATCTTAACTTCGGCTCAGTGCAACCCAAGCTATTCCATCATAGTTCATAAATGCGATTGCAGGTCCATCTTTTGATTCAGCAATTTAATAACTTCGAGTGCTGTCAGTAGTGCTTTGAAAAATGGATCCTATAAAATGTAACAGCCTCAATCAGATTGTAAAAGATTCACCCACGGAAGATTCTCCCATTTTCAACTATAATGAATTAATGTTGAGCTGTGTAGAAGTTCAAGTGTCAGTTAAACTAATGGGAATCTGTAGTGTAGGCTTAAATTTTAACTGGGCCAAAAATTTATTGGGAACATCAAGTTCAATTTTAGTGATCTTCATGGTAAATGTAATATGTGTAGCTGAATGGATTCCCTTTGTTTTGAGAGGATGGAAGTTAACAGAAAAAAAATGTAATTCTAGAGATATGTTTTAAGAATTAGTTATGGCAGAGCTTCCTCCCCCTATTTTCCTCCTCATTTTTTTCTATTAAACATCACTGTATCAAAGAAATCTTATATTTTAGAAATGCATTTTAAACAAATGCTGGAACAAAGGAATGAAGAATTTTTGTTGGACATAACAATCATAAAAGTAAAATGCAAAGATGGCTGTAGTTGCTGTTGATCATCGTTACAAAGTATAAAGAAACAGAATTATATTTTAAATTGATAAAATACAATAATGTAAGATTGCTTATCGAGGGATAAAAGATCCTATGGATGTGTTTCATATCTATGGATATCAGGATCACAGAATTGGTTATTTTCCAAATATTCTATATTTTCAACAGAGCCCTTATTTATCAGCTGGCATTTTGGAGCAATTATTTAAGAAGTGGAAAATCTCAAATATTTTGGGATATATCATTATTTGTATACTCCATGTTTGTAGGCCACCTTCTCAACAAAATGAGACAAGATATGCTTTATTTAATGTGATTAATGAAGAATACAAATAAGATTTAGCCCAGCTGTGTTTTTGAAACCAAGAACCGAGTATTTTGCTGTTGTATGTCTATATTATTTTTGCTATAGCCCTCATTTCCCTGGCCTCCACCCTCTTAGAATAAATACCTTATTCTTTTGTTAAGCTCACATTTAATTAAAATGTACAGGATTTGTGCAGTGAACTTGAATGAAACAAATAAAACAAGGGCCCCCCTCTCTTGAAGGCATACGTTGTGAATGAAAAATGTCATTACAGTCTAAAATTTTTTGCAGTAAACAGGGCCTACAGAGGGAAGTTTCCTCTGTAATGACATCCATAAAATACACAAATGGCACTTTTAGTACCATCCTGAATATGGCATTTTCTGTGCTCTACACACAATCTAAATGGTTTGATCATAGAGCATAATACTCCATTGGGTTTATAGAACAATCAATGTTCCATAAAATGATGTATTTATCCAATAGTAGGCTCAGCAGTTACTGGTGTATGACATTGTAGGACACTGGCTTTATACTGTTCAGCAGCACACATGCTGGCTGTAAAACTTATCTAACACTACTTCAACAACTTCATCTCATCTGTGTCAAGTAATTTGTTGAAGCCTCAGCTTGGCTTAAAAAAAAACTTGTAATAAAAATTCATAGAATTTTCAAGAGAATGAAAGCTGATGACAATAGAAAGGTCACATTGTGTCTCCACTAAAGGGGTCAAGGGTTATTTGCAGTTCTAAAACAGAAAGTAGATTTCATGCATCGTGTAGCAGATAAAGATGGCATTAAAAAGACTTGTCTCCAAAAGTAATGCATAACGTATCAGGAAAGTCTGGGTTAGCGCAATATTGCATGTAAACCTCCACTTTGGCTTTTCTTTTATACTTTAACAGGCATCCATCTGGGCCAAGTGTACCTTGCTGATCAAGACAAAATCAAGGAAATGGACTAAAGAATGTTGAGTGAGAGATGCATATTTTTTAACTATATGTTTTGATAACTTTACCCTTTTTTTCCCTATATAGGTGTTATTAAAGATTTTATCTACTGGGCACTGTGACATTACTCCTGCTGGTTATTTCCCTATTTTATGTTCATTATTATTATAATTGAATATTTTAAATAATATTACACGAAAGACAATCTTTAGGCAGTATATATCGACCAACTGAAATTACAGTGTTAATATTTAGTTTCGATGAAAAGTTTCTCAAAACCCAGTTCCAGTATTCTAGTTACCTTCCTTTTCTCCTTCTCTTTCATTTAGACTTTGACCCCGC